AAAAAAAGAATAGTTGCTACAGTGTGTAAAAATGGAAGAATCTACTGTTCTTTCTACAGTAGCGAGACATTGCTCTTTTTATATAGTGGTGACAAGGAAGTGATGACATGACAACAATGGCATTTTGTGCTTGAATGGTGCTTCACGTACAGGGCACAGGCCTGCTAGGACATACACAAGGGGTGGAGCCCGCGCAATTTTGTTTTTGTTTTTTTTTTTTAATGCAGGTCGAACCCACCAACCTGTCCTCTACAATGAGGGGGCTTACATGAATAATGCCGTGTACTCGGGGCATTATTCTTTGTGCTTAGCAACCTCTTATTGTTGTTGCTCTTTTTACCTAAAAATGACGTTTTCCTTGAAAACTACAAAAAATGATAAGGAGCTGAAAATTATATTTTTATTTTTTAATTTTTAGATAGCACAAAGAATACTTTCTATTCCCTTTATTTTTTAAATATACAATATTCATCAATCCTAATCCTCTTGAATCAAGAGCAAATAGGTCATTAAATAACCCCCGTTGCCCCCATTAAATTTCATTTCATTTTTCCTTTTCTATCTTCAATCACACAATTTTTCATAAAATAACATTACATGTAAATCGAAAATTTTTCATTCTTTTTCAACCACTCATTTTAAAAAAAAACACTATTCTACCCATTTTCATTTCAAAAAATGGGGGCCATGGACCAACCAAGTAATCGACTTAATCCTTAGCATTACCGATCACTATTTACTTTAAATAAAATTGAACCATTATCGACTAAATTTTTCCTTTTGGACCAAAATATGGAATCTATTCTTCTTCATCTTTTAATCGCTAAAATATTGGTTAGACCAACATATCGATGTATTTACTATTTAATATTCACACTGTATACACAATATAACGTAAAAATCTGTTTAAGGAAAAAATAATAATGAAAGGACGGGATTACCCTGCAATTTGAAATAATTTGTAAGTTAAACTCCCGAAAGCCATTGAAAGAAGTCTTTAATTTCTTTGCCAAACTAGTTCCCTTCCAGGTCTTCGACGATGGAGACAAAGTTGTTCCAACGGTTGTTTCCGGAGAAGAAGTGGTTGGAATTTCGAAACGACACCCTACGAGAAGACTAAGACATTGACGCCAATCTATCTATGTAGTCCATCATCCTATTCCTCTCAACGGAAAGCTCGCTGCCTAGAACTTTGACTGAGTTTTGCTTGTCGATAGAAGAATTAAGCGCTCCCCCGGAAACTTCGTAACCATCATCAACTATGTATTCGAAAGAACCAATAGAATAAGAGTGCCGCCTTCCTTCCTTGAATTTCAACGAGGTACAGCGACGACTGATGCTCCCGATCTCAACTCGAAAACTCCTACCATTTTCATTACTATTATCGTTTCCATTTCTTAAGTTTCTATTCATATTATTGTTATTTATGTCTTAATTTTTAACATAGTGGATTTTATCAAGTACATTTGAGTATGAGGGAATCACTGTGGAGCGACAGAGAGGACAAGTTTGATTTGTGACGAGCCACTTGAGTCGAGGAGTGACCATCAATATCTAACAATTTATCGACTCAAAAAATACAATGAATTTCAACTAACAAGATAGAAAAAACAGTTTTTATGATAATAATAAACCAAAGGGTTCCCCCAACATCATTAAACCAAAGCTCGCTGCCTAGAACTCTTACGGAGTTTTGCTTGTCGATAGAAGAATTAAGCGCTCCCCCGGAAACTTCGTAACCATCATCAACTATGTATTCGAAAGAACTAATAGAATAAGAGTGCTGCCTTCCTTCCTTGAATTTCGACGAGGTACAGCGGCGACTGATGCTCCCGATCTCAACTCGAAAACTCCTACCATTTTCATTACTATTACCGTTTCCATTTCTTAAGTTGCTATTCATATTATTGTTATTTATGTCTTAATTTTTAACAGAGTGGATTTTATCCAGTACATTCGAGTATGAGGGAATCACTGTGGAGCGACAGAGAGGACAAGTTTGATTTGTGACGAGCCACGTATCAATACACCCCACGTGGAAAGCGTGATAACAAAGCGGCAGTAAACGGAGTCGATCAATCAGCTTGAACTTCAATAAACACACGTTACGATCTCCGCCGACGAGGTTCTCAGTCACTGATCGAAGGGTAAAGAGTGGAAGAGGATCAATCAAGTTTGTATTATATGAAGCAGTACTGAAGTTACGTCGTAGGTTTACGCCATCGGCGACAGTGGAGAAGGTGTGTCGGGATGACCGATGTAGTCGCTTGGATAAGAAGCGAAGGAGGTAAATGAACGCCGAGACAATAATGGAGGATGCGATTATAACTATCAATATAATAATTGATGAAGAATTAGAAGAATATAACTGTGGTGATGATGATGCATCGATGTACGATGGCTGTTGTTGAGGTATAGTGGTGGTGTTGGTAAGCATGGTGGAGTCGCTGTCGGCAATGGTAAGCGACGACAATGGTGTGTACAAACTTGATATTATTTAACAGCGTTGAGAGTGTTTATGATCAAGCCATACATAGAGAGAAGTAAAGGGTTCATGATCAAGCTATTTTCTAGGGAGACAGAGAGACGTGTTAGGAACAAGGGCGAATCCAGAGGTCGAGTTTAGTTAGGGCGGATCGTGAGCATTGAAAACTTATTATCGGAGGCCAACGTTCGTGATGGGGGTTGTTTATTAATATTTAATTAAACAATATTCAAAAAATCGTACGAATTAGAACTAGAAGAATTAGATACACCACCAGAACTAGAACGAGGTACAAACTTTCATTTTGGATGAAAAATCGTTCCATAATTTGCAAAATGTCCTAATTTATTTTTCGATTAAATAGCCAATATATATTAACAAAATGTCAATATTCAATTTACAATTAAAGTTAATTGAGCAAGCATTATTATATTAACAAAATTGATATTATTTATGTGATTAAATCAATTTTATGCGCTTGTATGATTCCACTTTCTCGCAATCGATTTTTTGTGAACAAAAAGTGGAACCTTATATTAATTAAATAAGTTTTGTTGAAAATTTTTTTATGACACTAAGGCCAATTTTCTAACAAATTCATCAACCATTAATTGACCAAACTCTCAAATCAATTGATTAAAGAAAAAGAAAATCAAGAAGAGGTACAAAGCAACAGTTAAAATGTTTCTACTTGCATTAAACCAGTAAAATTGAACATGTATTATTTTTTTACATTATGTGCTAAAAATTAAAAAGTGTTATGATGGTAAAGGAGTTAATATGTTTAAGGAAGGTAATATGTTTGAATCACCATCATTGCATTGCATTTGTTTTGGTAAAAATTGTTGAAATACAAAAATTATAAAGAACATTGCTCTTGAAGAGTTTCAAACATAGAACCTCTAATTCAATAATAGAAGGACTAATCAACTAAGTTAACAGAGATGTTTGTTGTTAATATGAATTACTAAATATATAATTTAAAAATTCTATTTATTATCAGCAAAAAAAGTTCTCTCGAACGAATCCAGCTAGGATGGTTGCCTAGCTCACTGGCCTCTAAATCTGCCCTTGGTCAGGGATGCATATATATAAATAAGTATAGGTTTTTGTGCTTTTGTTGGCACAGACACGTGTCTGGCACATGCACTATCAAAGTGTATTTGACAATCTTTCTAATAATGTTTCGTAAACTGTACATGTAAAATGTTTTAGAAGTCCGTGTAACACGAATTTTGTTTATACTGAGGATAAGACAAGAAATAATCCACATGTAATATTAAGTGTCTGTTTGACACTCATTACTAGTTTACTACAAAATTATTTTAAACCACACATTCAGACAATTCAATATTTTACATGTATATTAAATTTTTTTCCTACTTTTCAACCATACATTCTTATTTAAAACTCTGTTTTTTCCTACAATAATGATTATAAAACAAACTCTCATTGTATTTTTCTATTTCACAACATGTTCAATGAAGTACTTCATGTTAAATAATATAAAATAAATAGAAATTTTGTTTATCTGATTCACGATGTGCATTCTATTGCGTGAATTGAGGTTGTGTGGGTTAGCCGGTTAGGGTTGGGTTTTGGTGAATGGAAAATGGTGGATTTGGTATTTAGCCGAATAGAACAAAATTATGTGATTTATTATATGGTTAAAAATTAAAATCTTATTTTTCTGATTCACATTTGTGGTGCATCAAGAGCTTTCATTCCTTTTGTGTTTAGTCATCGATGAGGTCATTTTGCTTTAGTTGAAGACGGGGGCCTTGTTTGTTGAACTACGGAGTTCTGTTGTCAATAATCGAGGCTTGAGTCGAGGAGTGACCATCAATATCTAACAATTTATCGACTCAAAAAATACAGTGAATTTCAACTAACAAGATAGAAAAAACAGTTTTAATGATAATAATAAACCAAAGGGTTCTCCCAGCATCATTGAACAATATTCATGTGCCCCATTTGAGCCATATTAATGTAAGAATGAGAATGAAAAATATAATCGTTACGGATTCCACACGAGAGATAAAAAGTCAAATATAAGCTTGATGTGATGCATAATAATTATATTTTTTATTTTAATGGGTAAATAATGAGAAACTGACGAGGGCTAAAAATATTTAAAATATAATCGTTGCGAACTCCACACAAGAGATAGAAAGTCAAATATAAGCTTAATGTGATACATAATAAATTTTTTTTTTAATTTTAATGGGTAAATAATGAGAAACTGACGGGGGCTAAAAATATTTATTCATGTGAAATATTAAACACCTTAGTCCAGGTTTTGGACTTGGAAGTTGGAAGCGATATGGCTATGAAATATTTTGAAAAGAAAATAGACTTTCTATGTGGCACTCCCAAATAAATCAGCACACTGTGCACAAGCCCCTCTCTCCCTCCCTCATTCTCCGACTTGCGAGCCGAGCGATCATTCCTTAGTCACTATGATTCGCCGCGCCTCCACCGGCCTACTCTCCCGCTCCATAGTCGCCGGCGTCCACCACCACCGCCACTTCTCCTCTACCGAAGTCCCGGGGGCGGATGAGCTATTCATGATGGCCTGGAAGAGAATAATGCCAAATTTGGACCCACCCAAGACTCCCTTGGCTTTCACGCGGCTGCGGCCGTCAATTTCTGCGGCGGACATTGCTTCGAAGCTCACCGTCAACTTGGTTTCTCCATACTTGGAATTTTCCAACAGAGAGGTCAGATTCATGCTTAAACTCATACCGTCAATAAACAATTAAACATCCCTATTTCATTTATTCTGAGAGTTTTCCGCTTTCTAACTCGTTGTTCGGTCAGAATATTATCTTATTTGTGTTTGGATTGTTATAGTTGCTCTTGTGTTATCTGAGTTTTATGTGTTACTTGCGGAATATGATTATGTTAGGGATAGGGATGAACGCGGTATGGTTTGGACGGTTTATGACAAATTTTCAAACCAAACCATTTAAAGCGGAACGACTTCGATTTCTAAACCAAACCAATTCAAACTATTTTTCTTGGTTTGGCTCGATTTAAAACCATGGTTTAACAAAAATAATTATTAGAACAAAACAATATAACTACCAATAAAAATATAAAAATAATTACCAAAAAAAAAAATGGTAATCTGACTTGAATTTGAGCAAAATTTGAGGAAATTATTTTAAGGAAATGAAATGTGCACGTTTGAATTAAAATATAGATTTTATTGTCTGCTCAATTGTAATAGAGAATCGATGAATGTGGTTTAACATCAATTGTTCAACACTTTACCCAATTTGAGGGTTTTACATTCATAATTATGATGACTCATAAATATTTGGATATGATTAATTAATGGAGATGTATAATTGTCGATTTGAGTTTAACTGAATTATGTCTAATATAGATGTATCTTTTTAATTGAAATGTGTTAAGTCTTAATTGGGTTAAATAAAATTTAGATTAATTTTTTTTTTTTTTTTTTTTTTTGTTTTTTTGTGTAAACGGTTTGGCGATTTAAAACGGTTTGCAAAGATTGAAACCTAAATCAAACCACTTCGAAGCGGTTTGGTTCGGTTCAAAATCAAAACGTTGACCGATCCACATGGAACCAAACCAATGGTTTCAGGAAAACGGTTTCGGTTCTGTTTTGCGGTTTATCGGTTTCGTTGTTCGACCCTAGTTAGGGAATAGCCCTGCTCTGTATGTGTTTACTTTTTAAGCTTTGTTGAAATTTTCGATTCTTTGTAATTGTAGGCGATTAATCTTACGGTGTGTTTGATTGATTTTATTTTCAATGGAAAATATCATTTTTCTATCCTAGTTCTTATTTTTGGGTTGTTTGATGTACAATTTTGTCATGGATTTTTTTTTTTTCAAAAGTTGCTCAAAGTTGACCATGTTTTCCTCAAAAACTAGGAAAATATTTTCGTTATAGTGGACAGCATTTTATTTTCTAAGATAAACACATTTCCCAAAAACTCAATTTTATGAAAAAGTACAATATTTTTAAGGCTAAAAATTAAACCAATCAAACATATTTAATTATCAATTTTCATGCAAATAAGTTACGCGCAATTTAATTACCTGGAACTCATTTTCTTTCTATACAAGTTCCATACTTGCAATTAAACAAAGTTTCTTACTTTCTCAAAAAGAAAAAACCTATGCTCGGATTGGGTTATTTGCAACTGCATTTCCTAATCATTGGTAACTTCTACACTTCTATCCTCATCTTTTTTCTTAGCATTTAATTCCTTAAACTTCAACTTTCCATTTCGTTAGCTGTTTGGGCTTAATTTCTAGAAAAGGAAAATTTAGCCTCAAGTTTAAACAAGTGAAATATACATATGGAAGGAAGTGAAAAACAGAGATTTTCCCCCCACCCCCGAAAGTAGCCTCCCCACCCAGGCAGCAGGAAGTGAATGTTGGTGCTTGCGGCTGGGAGGTTCCTGTTATTCTTCTTTTCACAAGAACTGTGATGTTTAGCTGTGAATTTCAGATGTCAAATCATTGAAGCAACCTTAGCCCAACATGTTTGAATTTTTACGTAGCAAAATAACCAATAAAACACATTGCATTAGAACTATAGTTAATAAATTCGACCTTATTATTATATATAAATTAAATAATCATGACAAACAGGACTAATAAAATTTGAAGATACATTATAGTTAACGAATCCCACCTTACAATTTAAGAGAAATAGTGAGAAATTAACAATAGGAGCAACATCTGAACAATATTGGTTGTCCCGAGATGCTTGCTGCGAAAGGTGTTTCAAGAAATCTCCTCTGAGAAAATATCTAATAAGTTTTAGACGTGTGTCAATATGCAAAACATTACGGAAACAAAATGGGAAATTCTTTAAAATACATTAGCATTCAACATGTTTGGAGCATTTTGTGAAATGAACAATTGTTGTTTCAGGTGTAATCCTTTAGGAATACAAATGTGATTATGGGAGT